AAGTTTCTCAAAAGTTTCTTTTCCAACAATATTCAGATTATTTCTCAGATCATTTTTTTTAGGCATCGATTTAAGTGCTAAGTAAAAATATATGAATGCTAAGTTGAAAATTGCTAAGTAAAATTTGTATATGCTCAGTAAATAAGTTAGATGTTCAATAAATTTATTGAATGATAGATTAAATTAATATTTCTCTATAATTAACATTTTTGCCAAGTTTGATAATTAATATACAATTAAAATATTTAATTATTAAGTTAATAAATTGGGTCTTATAATTAAGAAAAACATATTAGATAAATAAAAAAATTGTTAATAAGTAAATGTGATTAAAACAAGATAAGATAACGATTGTCAGTTGATAATTTGTCTTGTACATTTTTGCTCTTGCCTTCTGTTAGTACTGATGTGACACTACAATATAAGTAGATTTCATCTTTATTTTCTTTCGTTATGATATCATGCGTGAATACACTTACACTATCTTCAAGCATGTTCAAGTATATTTTTTTTGTCTCTCTCCTTCTCTAGCAATTATATATGATCTCTGTTGTTTTCTGGAGTTCTTCCCTCTGCATATGTCATTTTCTAGTGAGTTCTTCTCTTCTTATTCTTTTGTATATATACATTAGTGATGCAATTCATTTTGCAAAATCCTCAAAATTAGTATGACAATTATCATCTAAAACAACAGGTTTTACTCTCTACTATACACTAGCTGATGAGGCAGAAAATGTCACAAAAAAATGAAATCCCAAGATGCAAAAGAAAAAAATAGACGCCATTCAATCAATTTAAAGATCTTGAATTTGAAATATAGAAAGTAACTTTGTCAGACATTGAATCAGAATGGAAAAGTGGATTTTGCAATTGTTCAAACTTTTTAAGGAATGTATTTGCAAACATGTGATTGGTATGGCAATTATATTGAAATTTTTCAAACGACCTCCAGCAGTAAAGGATGTACCTTTGGGTGAAAAAAGAAAATGAGGACGACCATGAAAAGCAACAAAAGCTTTATTAATCAAATAACTATTCAATTAAAATTTTTATTTATACATTTCTGTATTTTTACTTAACAAAAACTATATGTTTATCTGTCAATTCCTAATATTTTGTTGAGAAAATTAAACTTTTCCATTGAGAATTTAAATAAAATACTTAGCAAAAATTCATTTTTTTACTCAAATTTATGTTTAATAAATTACTTAGAAAAAATGCAACTTTTTAGTTTTTAAGTAAAATTACTTAGCACTTAAATAGGTGCCATTATTTTACAATCTATTGAGCTACTGAAACCTTTGATTGTTACATAAAATTATAGACCGTTCTTTTCTCTGTCTCATCATATTTTTTACATTGGGCTTAGTTTTTAACTTCACTACAAATTTTGATGATTTTCTAAAAAATGTTTTCATGAAGTTTTTCGACTCATCATTCTTTGACTTTTCTTCAAAGAAATGTTGGTTGTTTGTACATTTAAACATATTTTTCGTTCATATGTAACTGAATAGAACGTTGGTTTCTCTCTCTATAAGGTTTATGTTAAGTTTTAGAAGTGAACTTTCGCAAAATATAATATTAATTTGCTTGCGTATACAAACAAAAGTGTACCAAAGTTTAACATTGAAATGCAATTTTCTTTTTCATGTCGAATCAGTGCTGTTTAATAGTTCCTATGGATCCAAATATGACGAATTTCCTCCATCGAAAGCAAAATTCATCATTAATGGACTTACATGAACTGAAATATGAGTGAGCAAAAGTTTCAATTCAAAGTTTCTTGAAATTTATAAAAATTTTTTCGACAAAATGCAAAAATACATAAAATAAAAATTATATAGGCCGATAATTTCATGTTCTATCCAACTGATTGAAAATATGAGACATCCGAAGTTTTTTTATAAATAGTGCAAAGTGAACAAAACTATCAAAAATAATATAATCAACCTGTATATTGAACCTTATACTACGGAAGCAACTCTTATCAATTCATTGCTTAAGTGATCTTGCTCTCTCTGTATCTAATTACTAGAATAGTCATCTTCACTTATTTTCTGTTATTTTAGATAGTAAAGAAGAGATTTTTGCAAAAGCAAATATACACATGCTTTGCTCTATACTGGTCTATTCTTTTCTTTTTGTTTATATACCTGTCAATGTTCAAGGCAACAATAATGATAAAAGGTCCCAGCTGGAAAGCTTGATTCTTCGAAGGCTTACTCGTGCGACCTGTTCTGATCCAAGCCTATGTTTGTCCCAATGGGGCTACTGTGGAACGGGATCAGCCTATTGTGGTACTGGTTGCCAAGCAGGTCCATGCACCGGAACTACCACGATTGTAAGTAGTACCACCAGTGGAGCTGGTCTCGGCTGTTCTGATTCAAGCCTATGTTTGTCCCAATGGGGATACTGTGGAACGGGATCAGCTTATTGTGGTACTGGTTGCCAAGCGGGTCCATGCACGGGAACCACCGTGACTACAGCTAGAACTATCGCAGCTACAACTAAAGCTACCACAGCTAAAGCTACCACAACTACCACCACAACTACCATCAGAACTACCGCGACTCCAATTACAACTAGAACTAACTTAGTTACAACTAGTGCCACCAGTGGAGGTGGCCTCAGCTGTTCTGATCCAAGTCTATGTTTGTCCCAATGGGGCTACTGTGGGACGGGATCAGCTTATTGTGGTACTGGTTGCCAAGCTGGTCCATGCACAGGAATTACCACGACTACCATCAGAACTGCCACGACTGTAAGTAGTAGCACTAATGGAAATGGTTCAATTGCCATTATTAACGACAGTACATTTGCCTGTGTTTTCAACACGATCAATTCTACATTACGTGCTACCCGATTCGATGGACTAAAGGCGACAGGCTGGACGCCTGTAAACAATGATGAAGCTGCTGTCTTTCTTGCACATGTATTTCATGAGACAGGTGGACTCAGCACAATGCGAGAATATTGTGCTCCAGGTATGTTTTTCTGAACTATAGAATATGTAAAGGCATCTAAGACATGCTGTATACCGGGAACGTTTTGAACATCAAATAAAGTGATTCTTGAAAGTGCACCACGAGATTAGTTAATCTGAAAATGGGGACATTGATTCACGGAAATTCATTTACACTAGAAAAAATGAAGATGCTAAATGGAAATAAACATATTAGTTTTTTTTTAAATTGTAACATTTCTACTCTAAAACGATAAAGTTGATATTCACATCTATTTCGTCCATTTTGATTTGAGCATTCAAACTGAAAGCTTTTCTTCGAAGAAATATAAAGAATATCTTAAATCTGTTTTAGTCGAAAGAGTGAAAATTGATTATATTTGAATATTAAAATAGTTCAAAGAAAAAAATTCACCTTTATCTCAAACACTAGGTTGTGGTTCGCAATACAGTGGTTCTTGGTGCAGCATCTCGGCTGCACCAGGAAAATTGTATTATGGTCGAGGTTGGTTTCAGCTCTCATGGCCATGTAACTACTATAGTGCGGGTCTGTCTCTTGGTGTTGATCTTCTCGCAGATCCAGACAAAGTGGAAAATGATCCTCAACTAGCGGTAAGCACGGCTCTCTGGTTCTACAATGCAAATGGTATGGCTGCACCAGCTCAAATAGGTGATTTTGCTGCTACAACGCGCATCATCAACGGCGCTCTCGAGTGTAACAATGGACCAGGTTATGCTAATCAACTGACCCGAGTAGAGACGTATAAACGTGCCCGCCTATGCTTCAATCTCGGAGACCCTACCATAAATCCCATTTGCTAGACTCTTTTTTATTTTGCTTTTTGCTATTTTACAAATACTTCATGGATCTAAAAAATTTTTTAATATCATCTAAAAGTTGCGTTTCTTTTTTTCTGGTAGTCGTTTGTTATAATTATTCGATCATTTTTTCTTTGTTTCCTGATGCTATTAAATCTTCTCTTCTTTTTTTTTATTTATCATTAATGTCTTTGACTTCTACACTGCCATTGATTTTCTCATCAATTTAGTTTTTCTTTTGCCGATAAAACAAAGAATTAATGAGAATATATCTCGTTAAAAACTGTTTCTGGAAACAGCACTACATTCCTCCTGTCGCTTTTTATGCCATACTATTTCTATAGAAAATTCTATGGTATGAAAAGAAATCTTTTTCATATCTTTCTATGTGGAAAAGAATAGTTCAAAACACTATCTGATGTGTTATATGAATACGTGGCAAATATGGTTTTCTATAAAGAATATCAATTTATAATAATTTAAACAAATCTGAAATAGCACTATTAATTTTCTGCTGATATTCAAACAATAAGAAATTTCAAAGAAAAGATCAAATAAAACAAATTATTCAGTATGTAGAACACTCAATCTTAATGAAACTTTAATATAGCATAAACTGATAAATTTGAAATTCTGTTTATTGAATTAAAAATCGAAATAATTCAATCTCAAGATTTCGATAATTTCTTTTAAAATATAATATGTAAGCGGCAACTAGTTGAATTGATACGACAACTGCAAATAATCTTTAACATTAGTATAAAGCATCATTAAGAAAAATAAAAACCACAGCTGTTTTCCGTTATTCTGATCTTATAATCGAAGGAAAAATTCGAACGAATCAATACGATTATTTTTTTGTTAAATATGTATAGTAGAATCTGTTGGATTGGTTCTAGATCCACTCGGGTACAAGTCTGAAACTTTTCTGTTAATCAGGTCCAGTTTTGGATCTGAAAAAATCCCACGAACCAGATATGCATCTAAGTCCGAAAATTTTGTAACCGACGGGATATATTGCATAGTAATAGGTCTTAAATTATATTATTTTAACGAGTGATGGATTTTAATAGTTGATATTCTCTTCCTATAGATGTAATTTCAAAATCAACAGACAAACATTCATTATTGCTAAAATTTTCAGAGTCGAAGTCATTTTATTCGTATTTGATATTCTTGGATAATTCAGATCTTCTATTGTTTCAAAAAACTTTTGTTGTCAATCTGGTTCATTTGGATCAACTTCATTCATATATGCATCTAGTTGACAATCTCCTGTCATTATTTGTAAAATTTCTACTTGTTTTGTAATATGTTTAGCAAGTTTTTGTTGTTCTTTAGTAGATGTTTCATCAAGCCATGCCCGAGCATAGACCACATGAACAAGAGCACTACGCCATGCTAAATTAATACTACTATTTTGAGTTATACTCGAAACGTGTCCATCAGCAACACGATGTTCAATAGGTATTGCTTCCTTATGACCATTAATTTGAAGTAGTACACCCTCAAGTTGATCTGGTTGATTACGAACAATATTTTCTGGTATAAGACGTGAACCAAGTAGAACATCTACACCCGTTATATTTGACTGTTCAACCATAGTAACGAAGAAATTATTTAATGATACATAAGAAACAATATAACGATCTGAGATGTTGAAATTACCATAGTTATTTGTAATTAAACTAATTGATATGTTAGCCACACAACTTCTGCTAATGCAGATAACAATCGAAAATTATGAATAAAACTATTGTATCGAGTTTGATTGTGAGAGGGTGAGGGGAGGTAGAGGCAGTAAAATCTTGAAAATTATCCACAAGCGTTAGTGAATTATGAGTATGTAATACAATTGAGAGTACAACAGCAAAAGTTCAAGTACCATCACTTCGTAACGTTCAAAATAAATCCGAATTTTGAGATGAATTCACTATTTAAGGACGTCCATCAGCTAAAATATCATCAAATTCAAGAACTTGGTTGGTACCTCAACCTTGCAATTACACCAAAGGACCATGATCATTTTCTGGATGGTGTTTTTGAGCGAATTTTACTGTTTAATATCTATTTATATCCTATCTACATTCACTTTTATACGCATTCAGTAATTTTATTTTTATTTATCGTAACATTGATAGATAAACTACGCTGAAGAATTGAAGCAATCTTCTTGATAGTGATGATAAAAATCTAACAATTAGTGACGTATTGACACATATAAATTATATCTGTAGTAATTATGGATGTAACGAATAATGAAGAATTACTAGTATTGACTAATTTCTAAAAACAAAGTTTCGTTCACAATTGTTACTAAAATAAGTAGTAAAAAGTACCGAAAATGAGAATACTTATTAGCACTAAATTTTCAGTTAAAAAGTACAATAAAGTATATCTCTGACTCATATGCTTATAGATATGTGAGTTTTTGTTTTGTATGATGATATTATATTGTTCTTTAGTGGCTAATTACAATAGTTGAAAATATAATATATTGATAGTGCAAATTAAGTTCAAGAATTTCGATATTCGTAAATTATAGAAAAAATTCTATTAGCAATTGACACTTTTACACGAATCTCTATTTAGTAGGATGCGTGTCTGGCTCTGAATGGATGAGGATGAAAGCAGGAACCTCATTCAAACATTAAATAACAATTGAATTTTGCTTCTATTTTTACATCCATAAACGACAAAGTGCTAAATATGTACTTAATTATTTCCAGATTTGTATACTATCGATCATAGTTTTTCTAGTAATTCTTTTATAATTATTCATTTTTTCTTTGAAGATAAACCTTGTGAAAAAAATATACCAATATCTTTATTAATATCGTAATGAAAGATTGATGATTCAAAAATTTAACGATAGGCGATTTTGAAACTAGATCCATTGAATTGTTGACCTTGAAAAACGAAATCGAAGATATAATTGACTATAAAACGATGATGAAAACTCTAAATCCATGAAAACTTTAAGACTATTCAACAGTTGAATATCTTCGTTCCGATTTAAAGTAAGAGTAACTTCCAAAAATTCACATGAAGGCATTAGTTATAATCAATAATAATGAAATTAAAAAGAAAAGAATGAATTCATATGTATATGATTCTTCAAATGATCATACATGGAGAAATTTGATAATTTTGACTATTATTGATATCAATCTTTTTCTAGCAAGTATTCTCAATTTTTCATTGTCCCTTTTCTGTCGATCTGCATCATGCAAATTTTATCAGTGGCTAATCATCACGTATCTCAATGATTGATAAGCAGAAGCAAGCATTTTTGGTCTCTATTCCGGTTAGAAAAAAACTTTTGTATCTGGTTTCGCGCTTAGTCATACATACACTAGTGAATACTGCGCTATTATTTTCTAGCAGTATTATTAAGCTTGAGACATCTCGTATGGCCTCTAATATCGTTCTCCCTTGTGATTCATTACTTTTTTCTTTTTATTATTTCATTAATACTTTGTCTATTCTACACGTTGATGTGTTTCGAGAACTGTGTTGTTTACGAAAAAAAAAACGAATTAATTTTACTATCAAAATTGTAACAACAAATATTGAAGTGAGAGTTACTCAATCACTGTTGTATAACTTGTTCGAACACATGAATCGAAACTCTATGGCATTTGATGCTAGTATTACAGGACCATATAAGCTATCAGTCCTAATGAAAAATTGTTGGTCATGATCGAAATCCCAGTCAACCAAAATCATCTCGTTGATATCTAGTTGGAATTCTTAATGAATAGACTTGTGCAATACAAGGTCTAGATATTCGATTAATTGGACAAGAAAAATTGTTTAACGTTTCATTCTATTTCATATATTGTCCATCGAACTACTTTTCAATTTTATATCTATCTATCAAAATTAATTCTGGTTTATTTATATAAAAAAAAAAATCTTAATTCAATCAACATTTTTTGATTTTACCAAATAATTCACATGTAAGTGGACTATCTAATAATCCTTGTGTTGTAAATATAATTTCTCGACCTTTTCGTACACCTAAATCATCTTCTCCATATTGTTTAATCATTGTTTCACGAAACTCTTTTATTTTATCTTTATATCCCATTGCTTCTAGTTCTTTAGCTTGTCGATCAATTTCTCCAATTCCATATTTAGTTGCATTTTTCATATATTGTTCATCAACATTCCATACAGTTGGAATTGTCATTAAAACTTTTTTCCATTTATCTAATAACTTTTTATCTGTATTTTCACGAAATGCATCTTCTTTTGAACAACCAGGTTTTGTTTGCATATCTTTTAATTGACATACATATTTTCTTGATATATGACTAAGATAAGATTGTGTATGTTTAATAAAATGTTTTAATTGACGGATACCAAAAAATTCTGGTTTTATATAAATACGTTCACCAGCATATTTACCTTGACTACGAATTGGTGGAAGTTCACCAAAAAGTATATGACCGAAACCACTAGGCATACCTAAAGAAGACAATTAATTGACAATTTTTTTTTTTGTTTTTTGTTTGACTTTTTATACATACAAGCACCAGGAATATCCATTCCATAAGCAGGATAATCACGTGAACGGTCCCATTTCGAACCTCGTTCTCCATGATAATGTGAACTTTCATCTCCACGTACATAAATAAATGTATCGGATTCAATTAGACCAGATTTATTCTTTGATTTTTTTGAGTTTTTAAATAATGAATGAATAGCTTGTTCACCCATATGTTTAAAACGTTTAAAATAACCTGCATGTTGTGATCCATCACCAGCTTTTTGCTCATGTTTTGCTTTCATTAATCGATCAAATATTTGATTTGTTGAATCAAAAATAACAAACATACCTAAATTAAAAGTTAAAAATATAACTAAATATTTTCTATTGAATTTACCTTTCCCGAATGAAACTGATTTATTATTAAGTGATGCTTGTTGAATAAGAAAATGTATTAAATTACACATATTTTCTGGCTTAACAAGTGTATGTGAATTAGCTTCGGTTGCTAATTGTTGAAAAAAATTTCGACCACTATTTGCTTTTTTTGCAGCAACATTAAGTTTAGCTGAAATACAACAGTCATTTGTTGTTGCTCGTTTTGTACGACTTTGATGAAACTGAGTGAAACTTTCAGTTTTTGTTAATAGCAACACTAAGAAAAAGATACTTTGTTGTATTTGCATTTTTAGTAGATAAACAAATACGTATACGATTAGTTGTGTAAAATGTATGAAATGTAAGAAGACGAATAGATCGATATTTATAAAAAAAAATGAAAAAAGTGATAAGAATAGCAAGAAATATAATAAGCCGAGAGATGAAACAAAGCTCCTTTGATAGACGCAATTTTTTACTATTATAATCGTACTCAGTTACTTTAATGAAGTTTTTTTTCGTAAACGTGTATGTTGTTAAAGTATAATGGTTTTGCTTTCGTTCTGTTTTATTTGAATGCTGTGTACTCTAAGATATAGATATTTTATTCATAGAAGTATTTCTTTGTATTAAAAACATAATCATTTTGAATGTTGCTGAAACAATCTATCTAGTAAAAGATGATATTTATTGAATATCTTTCCAATAGACAAACATTTTTATCACAAATCCATATTTGATAGGTGACATATCGAATAATATATTAGATAATTATTGTATAGGATTTTAGAATCAACATTAATTTCAATAAGTCAGAGAACTTTCAACACTTCATTCTATGTCAGTGTTAATAAACGATTTTGGAAAAAAAATTTTCTACGCAATAAGCGACCTTACAACAACCAATTGATTAATCAGAAAAAAAATTGACTAACCGATCATGTAACATATGTTAGTTAGTTTCTTTTTCTAAGAATTTCTGATGTAAATTTTCCTTATATTTGTATAACCAATTTATAAACACACATTATCTAATTGCTTCCAGACACAAATATTAAATTTCATTGATTCGTTTTCTTTGTCAATAAAACACAATACAATGTCTAAATATACAGCTTCATTCATATTTTTGGAAATCCAGATTCGTCGTTCAATATCGTCGACAGCAACGATTGTTCAAAATTGTAATCAAGATGTACCAAGTATTGAAATTCGAAAATATTGCACAGATGAAGAATTAGATGAATATAGCAGATTACAGCAATATGTATGAACACTCAATGACCTACATAGTTTCCCATATCAAATATTTCTTGTTGTCACTTATGATGAAGGCATTGTATTGAATGCCAATGTATCAAACAATAGAGGACTATCATTACTGAGTTTTTTTTTAATTTAAAAAGTATTTGTTCTACGAAAAGACGCAATTTCTTTAGATAAGTTGAGATGCTTGAGGTACATCCAAATGTGTGAAACTACCGTATTGATCAACCATTGATGCTATTGTTGCATGACTATGCACTTTCACAAAATAATAAATTAATTAAAAGTTATTTTGATTGAACTAATACTAAATTAGATCATTTAATTCTTCTATCACAGTTCATGTGCCACGTAGAATGAATGAATGGAAATGTAGAGAAGATTCATAAGCAGTTAAAGCTCAAATTCATATTCTGGAGACATTTACAATAGCTTTCGAATAAGATTTTCATTGTTTTGAAACTCTATCTGACATAGAATAGTACTAATACTTAATAAATTGAACATTATAGACGTAATGAAAACAATAAATCAATAAGAAAAGTCTTCTGATGATTTTTAACCTACTTAGAAGGTTTTTTTTTATACCAAGAGATGATGAAATCACAACTAGAAATCAAATGCTTGCTGCTGTTCAATACAAAGTATCTAGCATGTTAACTTAACATTGGAAATGAATCAATTTATTTATCGAAAAAAAGTATTTCATAGTTCAATATATTTATTTATTTGTTTTTATAAAAGTACTAATTGCTCTTCAAATCTAAAGATGCATTGCAACATGTTGTATTCAAGCTAATCTAATTTTCATATTCAGCCAATGGTCTAATACTGTCCATTCATTTAGCATTATGACAGACCAAAATGAGCAGATATTTGGCAAACCAAAGTTTACTATTGACTTTAATCATATGACAAATTGTATTTTTAGGTATTAGTAGTGCACATATGACATCAATAAGGAAAAAATATCACTGAACCCATAGGACAACCTGAAATCAAGCTCGAAAAAATAATTTAATTTTCTGAATAGGTGTTTATATCTTGAATAATTCAATTAAACTTACTGACAATTGTTTGAATAAACTTGTAATCTATTGATAAGTTTCTTAACAACGTTGCAATTATGACAAATGTGTTTGATATTATTTAGATTACAACAATTCGATGTTAAAACAATTGGTGGATATATTAATATATATATAAGGAGTTTCATTACAAACTCCATGTCATAAATTTAAACCACGAGAACCTATAGTTTCAGCTGTGCATAAATGATTTAGTGTTTTCTTTGTGGATTATGATGAGAAAAACTTCTAATTATGTAATCGTTCAAAAAGTATTTTAATTGAAAAAAAATACCATGATATGATGAGAACTACGGAGTTGCAAATTTTCTAATTCATACTAAAGACAAGCGCATTATGGAAATTGAATAGATCTTCAAAATTGAAAGTAAAATGTATTAAAATAACTTTCTACTTTTGATCTGCTTCATCTTCTAATAACAAGGAAAAGTTTAATCCTCAAATCAGTCAGATTCCTTATCTCGCAGTAATCAAGGCTGCTAATAAATAGTATAAATTTTGTAAGGACAATATAATAGTATGTTCAAAATTATTTGACAAGATGTTTGATGTTCGTCATCAATGATTAATATCTATTACTGTTCAATATTGAACTAGTATATACACGCATAGAAAAATGAAAACATGACAAAATAAGCTATTGGATATTCGTCGCATCTTTAGAATATACTACCAACCTTGATTTTATGTAAAAACTATTTTTCTATAGGAATAGGTCCTTCATACAATATCATTCTCACAAAATTTGAAACCAATTGTAAGAGGAGTATTCTTTTACTTGGACATAATATGTCACAAATGCTTCGTATCGTCTTTTTCAAGTGTTATAATTTACTATGAATGCATTTGATAAGATTAAAATGCACCAACATTTAATGAATATAGAAAATATATTTACCATAAGAATAAAGTTTGGTAAGAATTTTTTCATCTTTGAATATCTTTGAAAATCGGAAAATTTATGCATCCTAAACCTAACAAGGCTTTTTCTGCTCTTGTTTTTCCTGATTGCAACTTTATCTATTTAATTCAATTCAGTAGTTTTTAGCTACATATTACTATTAAAGTGCAGTGAGGCACGAACGAATTCGATATTGCTCAGAAGTAATAGAATCCGATATTATCACCAGTCACATTTGCAAGCTTCCTATTATATTGTAGTTTTCCCCCTGAAGGGTATGACTACAAGTGCTAATGAGATCTTCTTTTCACTCACATCCAAAATTGTGAAATAACATTGACTTAATATTCCTAATTATGATTCAAAGAGTTTGTAGATAATTAATTTAAATTTTTATGTTCTTTAGAGACTTGCAGACTGATATTCTTTTAACTCCGACTTCAACAAACTCTGCAAATTTTTTTCTCATAATTTCGCGACAAGTTACTTAGATAATTTAAGGCTGTTTGAAGATAATGACAATATATTTAATGAGGAACGTAGAGATATTGAACGATGTTACTCTTTTTTTTTCGCAACAATCACTTGTGAAACTTAATCTAGTATAGATTTGTTCTTTGTTTTTCTTTTTCTTTTTCTGTTTCATGTTACTTGGCTATCGCATTGACAGTTCTCGTGTACTAGACGTTAAAATGATCAAAGACAAATAGTACGTAAGAAAAGAACGAAAAGACTTTTCGGAGTTTCGATAACTTACACCAACTTCAACTTTGAACACAAAAAAAAGAGATTCTCTTTTGTTCTGACATTGACTCCTAAAGAAATTTCTTTTAGTGATTTTTATGCAGAGTTCTAATGTTGCTCTATTTACTACAAATTACAGTCACTGAACCACCAATATTTTCCTAAGAGCTATTTATTTTATCATTTAATAGAATAAATAACTCTGATTGAATGTAATATTTTCGATAGATATTACTACACTAAAGAATCAAGATACTTATTAGAGTATTATCATAGACAAATATCTTTTTATCATACAATTAAAATCCATTCAATTAAAATATTTTTTATTCAAAAAGATCGAGACTAAACCATAGATTAATGTCAACATTAATAAAAGTCTTATATGAATATAAATGTCTTTTGTCTTTTATTTTACTCTTCATCGTCTTCGGTTGGTTGTGGTACAAGTTCAAGTCGATGTTCATGTCCTTTCTTTTCACATGCTGAACATAGATCATAATTACCACATGTTAAACAACGATATCTTTGACCAATAAGAGGAGCCATACTACATCCATCACAAGAGACAGAGGACCACTCGAACTCTTCTGGCAAAGGAGCAGATAACTTTTCTCCTCGTGCCCATGTTTTCAATGCTTCGATTCCTTTACTTGAAACATCATCACGACCACGACGAGACAAAACACTTCCATCGGGTGACATAATGAACAATGATGGAATACCTTCATAGAAAAGAGCAATAATTATTGTGTGAAATAGATAAATTAAAGAATTACTCACCAGAATAATGAAAATATTCCTTGAGAAGAGCACCTGAATTTAATGGAACAGCTGGCCAAGGCATTTCTGCACGATAGCTATTAAATGATTCTTCATCTCGATCACATGATACAAAAACAATACGAAAAGCATGAGAAGTTTCTTGTGCTGCTTTGTAAAGTTCTGCCAATTTCGGAGTAAAAGCACGACAAGGTGGACACCAATGAGCAGAAAAGTAAAATCCAACACTTTTAACATCATTTTGCCACATTGTTTTTGTTTCAATTTTTTCTTCATTATTAGGATTAAGTAAATAAGGAACTGATTTAAATAGTGCTTCTAATGAATAAGTTTTTTTAGGCATAAGATATTCAACAAGAGGATGTTCATGCTTATTATTTGGTAGACATGTTTGACATAAATCAATATTACATTCTTTATGTGTGCAACCATGACGTGATCCAATCAAAGGA